AAAATAAGTTACCAAAATGTGGAATGAGGGGTAGGGTTGTCAGCAAACCCTAGACAGTATTTCTGTCTTCTACATGATCACAACATTATGCCCATTGATGCTGGTGTCTCCAAATCCAGAGGTACCTCACCCAGATGTGGGCTAAGAACAGGTTTTGCCTTTGACTGATCTTGCTTTTACACCAATAAGAAAAAAATCCATCTGTTCTGCAGTTGGAATCTGACTTTTAATATTTCATACAAAAGGATTTATGTGTAAAAATCTATTCAGAAGGGAGAAGTAAGATAATATTGTCACCAGCATCGGACAATGTTTCTGCCTAAGTGGACATCTTCTGCCTAAGGACAGAAACATAGGACGTTTTCCGCCAAAGCAGGTATTTTATTATTAGAATCTCCCATGGCTTTTAAAAACTGAATTGAAGTGGATTACTGTTTGTCTTACAGTATTTTTAATAACTGTGTTCAAATACAATAGCAACTCTTGAATAAGCAGATCTGAGACAAACAAGAGATTACTTTTTTGACACAAAACATAATTAAAACATGGAACTCACAGTCACAAGGGATTATGGAGGCTGAAAGAAACCACGAGTCCCAAAATGGAAAAATTTCTGGAGAAAAGTGGGATCTCCTTATCTGTTCGTTGTTTGACATCATCTGTTGGCGGCCACTGCTAGAGACAGGATACAAGGCTAGAAACATCTTTGGTTCTGATCCACACTGGTAGGTCTTAGGACAATGTATATCATTAGCATGATACTGTCACACTTTTATTAATGGCAAAACTTACTTCACACACTTGCATCTCATTCATAAATACAGCTTTTATCAAGGAAATTCAATACGATAGGCTACCTGTAAAAGTACGGTGTTACAAGAGTTACATTTTCACTTAAACATGTGTCTTACTATAATTTGTTATCTGTGCAATCACAATGGTCAGGAAAAGAAAGGTGAAAAAAATTCAGTTAAATAGATTTACATAAATTTTATTTAAAAACAAACAAGAGCTGTTTTCCATTTAAATCTAATAAACCTCCCTTGACTTACCTTATTGGATTATCCATCAAAAGCATACAAAGCTTCCAAGGTCTGTAAACATTCTGGTTATAGTTCAGGTATATGCAACTGCAGATTATTAGAATTATCCTGGAAAAATTCAAGGAGGCTTGCAATAGGTTACATGAAATATTAACTACTACTATACAACTACCTAATACACCAGACTGTTGCAATCTTAAAGCAGGAACCTGAGGAGCTGACTGAGCCAGGGAACAGCTCTCAAAGACTTATTGCAAATATTTTTAGCATCTTTTAGGATCACGCCTTTAAATATGAGCAATACGAACACCAAGAGCTCAGTTCCGCTGATGTAGAGGGGCACAGGTGTAACTGCTCTTCTTACCTGAATGGTCTGTGGTGTACCCATGTACCCAAGCTTTCCGTCTCTAAGCCAATACAGTATCAGGTACCAAGGCACAGTTACATCCTGGATAGTATGAGAGAGAGCTGTAGCTAATCTTAAAGCGCTTCATTTTTGCATGATTTGTATGATCACCTTCACTTGCACATGTGTACTCCGTAACATTTGGTCAAGCTGTGCATTCACATCCCCCCACTGTAGGATACTTAACATCAAATTCCCAGGGGTGTGCATATACACACTACTCCCATTTAACAGTGCCAGAGGCTACTCATATGTACTCATTAGGAAAGAACCCCTGTACGGGAGGTTCTGTTCACTTAATAAGTGAATAGCTCAGATTCCAGTAAAACACCAGGCCAAAATATATTGTTGTAGTAAGTACACAGAAATCCCTGAATACTTAAGCACGTAGTGAGACAAAACCAAGTTTAACAGTAAGCAAGTGTTCTTTCTTTGCACATCTTCCGTTTCTGAAGTAATGGTTGAATAACTAAGTACTGACATTTATGGGAATACAACCATTTCAACATATATCGTACTGTAAACCTGGAAGCCAATACTTAGAGACTTCAAGCATGGGGTGCTTCTGGTTGCTAAGGCCATGATTCTGTAATAAAATGCATACAGTGCACCCACTCGATCCTCACAAATCTCAATGGGATGCTGCACTGTATGATTGCCCTGCAATGAATCCTCCTTTTATGCACTTGCAAAACCAGAAGAAACAACTCCTCCATGAAAAGAATTATGAACCATCACATTTTACATAGAGCAGAATTTGTTAAAGCTGAAGTGTCCCATGGGAGTAATGGTGTTGATAAAGCTGTAAGACAACAATTACAGAGTGCAGGAACCCACCTGACACAAAAAACCTCACATATCTAACCCCCATAGCTCTTTGTAGGCAATTGGTATGCTACTACTCTTCTTACTTCTATGAAAACTGATAGAAATACACTGAGTTGCAGATTTTAAAAAATAATTGTAGAGTTAATAAGGACATGAGTCCCAAAGTTCTTGACCATATCTTCAGACACACTGGGCCCTTTAATACAGACAGCCCTGCCAGATTAAAAGTACATTATGCACTTATGTGTGAGTGGAGAACAAGCAAGCACGTGTAGGTGAAACCTGTGTCCCAATAACAGAATACTATACAGCAGAGACATCTTTTGGATGTGAATCCCAAGAGCAAGATTTCTCTTTTTTTTTTTTTGTGCAGTAGGCAAAAGAGAAAAGATCTCCTGAGATCATCTATTTTCAATCAAATTACAGTGTAAATATTATAACATCCCCAGCATCCCTTATTTCACTTGAACGCTATACATTTTTTTAAGTGTTTACCCTTAATACTGAAGTCCATAAATTGAAGGCTCTGTACAACTACCTACCTTATAGTTATGTTCTTCATGCCCCAATGCCATTTAAGAAATAATGATGTAAAAACAATGCTATTAAGTTGGCATGGTTAGGCACTCAAGATTTAAAAAGTCATAGGCAGAACATAAAGCTGTCCTCCCTGTGCGTACACATGGGGTCACCGACCAATTTCATCTCAGCTTTTCCTGTCCTCTTCTGCTCCGAACGTCAGAGGCAAACATGAACAAGGGGATTCTAGTTTGAATCCAGGGTATTGTGAAAGGTTTCTCAGCATCTTTAAAGAGGCAGTGGCTGCAGAAGGAATACTCTGGAGTGTTTCTGCTCAGAAAGACTTAATGCCTCCTTGAGCAACCTGGGCCACCCTTAAAAAAAATAAATCCATGTATACATGTTCCTTTCCTTACAAGCAGCACAGGAGGAGGAGGGCTATATCTTCCTTCTTCCCTGCCTCTTTAGGATGGAAAGAGCCTAATCTTAGTCCATGGGTATCAAGATCTCAAACTACCACCCTATTTGATCCCAAGAAACCAGGACACATGCTACCTGGGGAGAGGAAGGGATGATGCAGTGCCATGAGGGGAATTAGCAAAACAGAAAAATACAAGACATTTTGTCTGTGCTCTGAAACCCCTGAAGACTTTGTCATTTTGAGTTATAAGACTTCAATAAAGTCCCATAGCACTTGGACACTCAAACTGTAGTCAGCTACTTGCCTCATAATATTTCATCAAAAATAATTAAAGGGAGTGGATAATATATACACTTTTAAATAGAAAATCCATGCAGAAGTTTTAGACTATTTTTAGACTGTAAAAAGTGTGAGTTCTACCTGGATTACTTTTTAATTCATATTCTACACAGTTAACTTTCTACCTGGATTACTTTTTAATTCATATTCTACACAGTTAACTTGCTGGGTACTATCTTCTTTGACTGAACAGCATGAAGTCAGAAGAGGCTACTCGGGGAAAGCGTACAGTCCATCAGTAAAGGAAGCTGGGAAAGATCTTAATTGGGAAATTCCTGCCTGCTGGGCTCCAGCCAGGCCAGCAGACTGGCCTGCCTCAGGTTTCAGCCTATGATGAAAAATAACATGAAACTGTGAAAGACATCTGATAGAGAGAGCAAAGAGAGGATGCAGACAGCTGGAAGGAAGCATCAGGACTGCCTTCCTCTCCCAGACCAGCAACACGGGGTTCAGCACTGTGCAGACCTTACCCAAAACTAGCCAAGAAACACCCAAGCTAAGAGAAGATCCAGCTGGACAGGCCTGGTGACATTTTCTCTGACGGCTTTGACGATTAAGCAGTGTGTTGTGGTGAAGACACTGCTTTTCAGCTGTCCACAGGCTTTCCAGGTGCTGAACCCAGCTGGGGGAGTTGTTTTATTATAGCTGGTCAACAGAGAGACTTCACACTGAGACCAAATCTGAGTGATCCAAGAGATCCCTCACCCCCAATTAGCAGTAGTAACAAATGAGTCAAGAGACGAGAGAACTTCACAGGGGCTAAAGGAAGTCTAAAGTGCAACTTGCCTTGTACCCAAAAGCTGTGAATACAATTTCACTGTAAGTTAAGCTTTTATTCAATGTACAATGATACCCAGCTGCACAGGACATTTTGATATCCATTCCTAAGTGTCTGACAAGGATACTAACCTAAGGTAAAAGATGCTGTGCAAATACTGCCCTTAAACATGAACATAGTGCCCAAAGA